ACAGTACCTTATTTCAAAATAAAGCTGGCTTGTCTAAATGTGCCTTAGCATACCTCAAGCAGCTCTGTTTGTGATGTGCCCATACAGCATCTCCTTGTGTAAAGTGTGCTGAATAGTTGAACGATGCACAGTGACTCCATCAGCAGCAAGATGATGTTGTAGGTCTTTGGTGCTGGTCTGTGGGTTGACTGACTGTTCTCAACATCCTTCACTTCTGATTATTTGAGATTTTTCTTGGTCTGCCACTTCGATCCTCGACTTGAACTGTGCCTGTGGTCCTCCATTTTCTCACAATGTTTCTCACAGTGGAGACTGAAAGCTGAAATCTCTGAGATAGCTTTCTGTTTCCTTCCCCTAAACCATGACGGTGAACAATCTTTGTCATTTGAAAGTTGTTTTCAGACTCCCATGCTGTGACTCTTTAGAGAAAATGCAAAGAGGAGAAAAACTACAATTGCCTCCCTTAAATGCCCTTTCTCATAATTGGAGTCACCTGTGTATGGAGGTCAAGGGTCACTGAACTTACCAAACCAAATTTAAGTTCCAAAATTATTAGTTCTAAAGGTTTTAAAATCAATAAAACGGCAACGGTACCCAAATTTATGCACCTGCCTAATTTTGTTTGACCAATTATTGCACACTTTCTGTAAATCATATAAACTTCATTTCACTTCTCAAATATCACTGTGTTTGTCCCCTGATATTTTTTAACTGATTTTTTATCCAAACAATCAATGGTTTATAAAGGTAAATCAGGAAAATTAACAAGGGTGTCCAAACCTTTTCATATGACTGTAAATACATAAATAAATAAACACTAGAGACAAAAAAGGTTTCTTTTAAATCATTATAAATTGTATTTTCCATTAAATAAAAGTTTGGCAGAAATACCTGTAGAAAATGGCATAAAGGCATCTCTTCTTATGAATTTCCCCTCTTCATCCAGGAAATGAGAAGGGTTGAAACTGTGTGGGCACTCCCATTCACTCTCATCATACAGGACAGAAGTGAAAAGAGGCAGAACTGTCGTTCCCTGCACGGAAGAAAAAAAAAAAGAAAAAACAGCAGAGCTGAAAACAATCTGATATCTTCAGACATGGATTTTTTTTTCTTTTTCTAAAACCCAAGGTCAAAATTAGCAGGTGACCTTTTTGACAAAGTAGCCCTGAAATGTAACATCATTGCTCATTGTATAAGGAAGGCCGATGGGGAAGATGTTTGCAAGTCTCTGTGTCTCGTGGATCACAGCATCAGTGTACGGCAGGTTCTTCCTGTCCTCCACCCGAACCTGCCGGTTTCCAACCACCCTGCTCAGCTCCTCCTGAACACAATCTGGTTACAAATTAAAATTAGATCCAAGTGTCAAAATCTAAACAGTGGTATGAAGAAATGTTTGCACCTTGAATATGAGGAAACTTGGCCATGTAAAGGAGACCCCACTTCACTGTGTTCGCAGTCGTATCATTACCAGCTTCAAAAACGTTCAACACCGTGTACAGCAGGTTGTCATCATGGTAGTGAGAGTTCTTGATTCCAGAATCCTGTTGAACTCGAGCAAAAAATATATAAAACCAAATTAAAAAAATAAAATTGTGTTAAATTTAAAGCCAGGGAAGATTGACAACTCACCTCCAGATGTTTCTTACGGATCAGAAATGAATCAACGAAGCATCTGCACACCTCAGGGTCCAGAGTGTCTGTCAGATCTGCTATTATCTTCCTCACATTCATCTTACTGTCCTCCACAATCTTTATAAAATCCCTCCAGTTTTGTAAAGCAGGACCAAGCCAAGGAAAGCAGTTGTAAATCTAGAAGACGAAAAAACAACTCACCTTAACTTTTTCAAACACTTCCAAAACCTTTGATAACCAAGACCCTTCTAAATACAATTGTGAAATACTTTATGAGCAACATGTGTAACAACAAATCTTACAATTACTAGGAAAACTCCTCTGGAGTGTTCATACCCAAAGGGAGGCTGTTCCTGTCAGACGAACAATCTCACTATCCCTCTCCACCATAGCTTGGAAGATCTGATCTTTATAATCAAATCTCTTTCCAAACATCAGAGATGAAATGACATTAGTTGCAGCATAATTCAAGGACTTGGTGTTGTTGAAGGTTTTACCTTCCAGAAAAAAAATCAGTGTTAAATAATAGATTAGACATGAAGTGTAAACATGAAGTGAATCTTTAATCATCAGTTCAGGCAGTAAAAAAACAAATGAATTATAAACTAGATACCGCGCATCGGTAACCCCCGCACGCAGAAATGCACCGGAACTCAGAAGTCTTTATTCCTAATAAATGTCATGCTACTTGGTGCATCTCAAAATTGTAGTGGGTAAATGGACTGTACTCATATAGCACCTTTCTATCCATCCAGGACACTCAAAGCGCTTCACACTACAGA